TGTTGCTTGTTTTTGCGCTGCCTCCTGCCCTTGGGTAACTTCAGAGCAGCCGATCTGAGAAGGCAACTGGGGCTGGCAAGCTCTCCTCGCTGATCCAAGTATTTTAAGAAAGCCCCGGCTAAGTTTTCCTGTGCGTTAGCCTTGCTCCGGAGCGGTGGTGAGTGTGGAGGTGAAAAGTTCACATAGGGCTGAGGAGCACTTTTGAACGCTGTTGCTTGGTGGATAAGACCTAGTTTATCGGCAGGAGTTTGGGTGTTAATGGGACGCTTGGAAGGCATCACTTTCCAAGGCAGGGCTTTCCCAACTGCCGGCGTCTGCCTGAGCTGCCGTGTTTTCTGCCTGCAGAACGGGATGGGATGGCTGGAGATGGCAGCCAGCCCCATGGCCGAGGTGTCTTGTGCTCCTCCTTGGCTGGCGGGGTGAAAAAATCTGGGAGCGCAGGGAAGGGCTCACAGTTAGCGTTTGGTTTTGTATCCTCCCTGCAGGAACCCCCTCGTCCGATCTGCAGCCATGGCCACCTCAGCGAGCTCCCACCTGAGCAAAGCCATCAAGCACATGTACATGAAGCTGCCGCAGGGGGAGAAGGTCCAAGCCATGTACATCTGGATCGATGGGACAGGGGAGCATCTCCGCTGCAAAACCCGCACGCTGGACCACGAGCCCAAGAGCCTTGAAGGTGAGAGGGCAGGTGCAGGCTTCGCAACCCCTCACCGGGTGGAGAAAGCGGTCGTGCTTGGCTGCTCCGGAGAAAGGATGCCGTTTTTTCACGGCAGAGGGATGGTGTTTGGGGAAGGTCTTGCTCCTCACCCCCTTCCAGTTACCTCTTTCCCCAGATACCCCAGGGGCGTGTTGCCAGCTCCCCAGATGTGGAGTTTCAATGAGATGCCTGGGGTTGGGAGCCCATCCCTGGCTCTGCCCCTGCTGCGGAGGGGGCTGTTGGCAGGGGCTGGGGGCTGTTGGCAGGGGCTGGGCGGCCCATTGACTCTCGAGTACCCGTTTTGGCCGGAAGTAGTTTGGCAGAAGAAAGTGGAGGGGAAAGAATGGAGCTATCCGGTGTAATTAAGAGCTTGTGTCCCTCAGAACAAACAGTCCCAGCTTACACAATAATAGCATTAGGATTTTCCCCAGGTTGCCATGGTGCTGGCTGGAGACAGTTATGAAATGAAAATACTGTGTGTGACTGAGCAGAATTATCTCAATTATTTTTTTTTCCCCTCCCTTTTTTTTTTTTCTCTTCACCCCCCCCCACCTTCTCATTTTCCCTTTTCCCTCTTAAGGGAGTGGTTGGCAGGTTGGCACAGCTCCTTGGAAATCTTTGTGCTTCCCATCCTCCCGCTTTCCCCCCAGGATATGGAGGAGATAACGTTGCCCCGGGTGGAGTTCACCGCTGCTCCCGCTGCGCTTTGACCTGGAGAGCAGTGTGCAGCCAGGAGGGGTGGGCGAGTGGCCCAAACCAGCCGTACTCCTCCTCCTCCATATAAGACTCTACCTACGTGGGATTTGCTTTCCCACCTTCTCCAGGCCATGCGGCACGGATAGGGGTATTTCATGACTCCCCTCGTTCCTACAGCTTGAAGATATCTCATCCTCTGCCCGCTTGCCCAGCTGCCTCTGCGAGGCGACTGGGTGCTCTGCTCGTCCCCGTGGTTGTTGTGACATGGGAAACCTCCTCAGTGCTGCTCTGCTCGCTTGGGCTTGGCCCGCAGCCCAGCTCCTTGTGTTTCCCAGGGTGGCTGGGGAGTTGCAGTCCCCTGTTTTTTGTTTGTTTTGTTTTTGGTTGTCTTTTTTTTTTTTTGGTTTTTTTTTCCTTCCCCCATTTGGAACAAAATCCGCTGAGCTGGGATTAAACCTATTGTAGGCCTGTTCTCTATAAGCATCTTCACCTCTGTAATACCGCAGGGTGGCAGGGAGCCCGTCCTCCTGGTGACCGGGGACCCTGGGTCACTGTGACTCGTTCCTCTCTCCACTCCAGATCTCCCCGAGTGGAATTTCGACGGCTCCAGCACCTTCCAGGCTGAAGGCTCCAACAGTGACATGTACCTCCGACCTGCTGCCATGTTTCGGGACCCTTTTCGCAAGGATCCCAATAAACTAGTTCTCTGCGAGGTCTTCAAATACAACCGCCAGTCTGCAGGTGAATGGACCTTCTCTTGGTGGAGGTGGTGTTTCTGGGGAGGGGAAAGGGAGAGCTATCCGAACGCTGTTCGTGCCCTTAGCATCGTGCATGACACGGAAATAATCCCTGCCCTCAAAGCAAAAGGCAACCAAAGTGCTGGTGGTGGAGCAAGGGCTGGTCCTGGGATTCTTCACCAGTGCTGCTGGGACATAAACCGTAAAGAAAGTGGAAATGGGGAGTGGACGTGGAGATGCTAATAAGCATCCTGTTGCTTTTCCATTCTAGAGACAAATCTCCGACACACCTGCAGGCGGATTATGGATATGGTGTCCAACCAGCACCCCTGGTTTGGGATGGAGCAAGAATACACTCTTTTGGGGACAGACGGACATCCGTTTGGCTGGCCTTCCAATGGCTTCCCTGGACCGCAAGGTAACCTCTCGGGAGTCTGCGCTGGACCAAGTCAGGATTCCTTAACGCCGTGTTTGAACTGTAATCCATGTGATGCAACCTGAGCGCTTCAGGCAAGCGGAAAGATTCGAGGTGTTTCTAGAGCTGAAGGTGGACGGTAGCAAGCAGGATATTGGCAAAAACTAACTCATGAGATTAAGATCGTTACAAAAAGGCTAAGATGGTGGTTGGCCCACATCCAAATTTGCTGCTTGGTTTGTTAGTCTGCAAGTGACTTAAACTCATGCTCAGCATGACAGAGCATAAGCCCAGACTCTGAGGAGACTTGTTCTCCGTCAATGCTCCGCTAGTCCTTCCATAAAAACCAGATTTTGGGGCTTTTCCACACATCCCAAGCCTTTGGAGAGTTCTTCCCTGCGTGTGCTCGGTCTTCGCTGAATTTAAGCCTTTTTCCTTCTGGAAACTGATGTTCCCCTTGCTGTTCACCTGTGCTGTTGCAGGTCCGTACTACTGCGGTGTAGGGGCGGACAAAGCTTACGGCAGAGACATTGTGGAGGCCCACTACCGAGCGTGCCTTTATGCTGGTGTGAAAATTGGAGGAACCAACGCAGAAGTGATGCCAGCCCAGGTAAATTGTTTTGGATGCCTTGTGGGATGAGATAGTCCAGAAAAATCCCCAAATTTTGGCTCCGAGCCATGTAGTTTTATCAACAGTCGGAACGTAAGGGGGTGGGAAGTGTCTCGCTGCGAGTGTCTCTGCATCACTGAGCCGGTGACTCCTCCTTCTTGTAGTGGGAGTTCCAGGTGGGACCATGCGAAGGGATTGAGATGGGGGATCACCTCTGGATTGCACGCTTCATCCTCCATCGGGTGTGCGAAGACTTCGGTGTCATTGTGTCTTTTGATCCCAAACCCATCCCTGGGAACTGGAACGGTGCTGGCTGTCACACCAACTTCAGCACCAAGAACATGAGGGAAGACGGAGGTCTCAAGTAAGCTGGTTGTTTGTTTTTTTTTTTGAGATGGGCCAGTGGCATGTGTTTACTAGGCAGCAGGCTGGACTTGGTTGGTAGCAGCAAGCTTTCTGCAGAGCTTTGGACGACATGGGAGATTTCACTCTGCTTGGCGTTAGGTTTGAGCCTTTCTTCTGGCTGTTTGCTGTTTGTTGGGTTTTTTTTTTGTGGGTTTTGTTTTATTTCCTATAATGATACATTCTCCTCTTGGTGCTGGGTGGGAAATTCAGCCAGCAGCACAGCTCCATCAGTGCTGACAGCAGCACAGGTGGCCAGGATGCAGCTATTCGTAACGGGCTGTCCAGCTCTTGATCTGCCAGTGCTGGAGACAAAGAAACAAATAAACTCAGCGTAGGCTTTCCCCGCCCCCGTATAACCATGATGAAAAGAGAAAGACCATTTGCTTCTGTCTAGGCCAGGCTGTGGAAGCAAATGCTGTGTTTTCTTAAACATGAAGATCCTGGAAATGTAAAAGGCCATAGGGGATGGATGTGGTGAGTGCAGGCAGGGACCTTAGAGCACTGGGTTGCGGTGGAGCTCTAAGAAGGGATTCCTCCTGGCAGCTGTGTTTTCTTACCTTAATCTTAGTGATGCCCAGAAATAATGAGCCAACCTGTGACCATGTGAGCTTCCCAAATAGAGACTTCTGTGAGGAGAAATCTCCCTTCTGAGAGCAGGTTCCCCAATGGCAACGAGCCTGTGGGATTTGGCCATGGGTGGAACTGGTGGTCTGTCGTGCACAGCAGTCCCGAGGGACCCTGTGGGATTTGGCCGTGGGGATCTTTTTCCAAGAGCCTGCCTGGGTCAGCAGTAGGAGTGGAAAGAAGCCCTGTGTTGAGATGATCGGAAAAGTGGGTTGTAGGGTGTAGGGCTTCATCATAAAGCGGCTTGGGGACAGCGATGGATCTGTTGTCACTTTGACGCAACAGTCAAGAGTGGCTCAGCTTGTCCCATCCATCAGACGTTCACTGTGTCTTCCCCTCGTCCTCGCTCCCTTCGCAGGCACATTGAAGAGGCCATCGAGAAGCTGAGCAAGCGTCACCAGTACCACATCCGTGCCTATGACCCCAAAGGGGGGCTGGACAATGCCAGGCGCCTGACGGGTTTCCACGAGACATCCAACATCCACGAGTTCTCCGCTGGCGTGGCTAACCGCGGCGCCAGCATCCGCATCCCCAGGAACGTGGGCCATGAGAAGAAGGGCTACTTTGAGGACCGCCGGCCCTCCGCCAACTGTGATCCTTACGCTGTGACAGAGGCTCTCGTCCGCACGTGTCTCCTCAACGAAACTGGAGACGAGCCTTTTGAGTACAAGAACTAAGGAGACTGCGCCCACAGACACCGCCTTCCCCCCCGCACTTCCCACCCCCCTAAACTTCCCTTCTAGATGTAATCCCGAGGGTACAAGATAACACATTTTGTGTCTCAGTAACTCTTGTTGTCTTGAGGTGGGGAGGAGGGCAAATTTAGTTTTATCAATGTCTGTTTGTCATTGATTCTTCAGAAAAGACGAGAGGAGGAGAAGGTGTTAGAGAACTTTTAACCACTGTTTTATTTTTTTTTTTTTTTTGGTCTAATTCATGTGTACATCTGATGGGATCCAGTAGCTTCCAGGGACAGACTGCACAAACAAAAAGCCAGCAGGCGAGTGGAAAGCTTAAAACTATAGCTGACTTCCCCAAGAGTCAAATTTGGGGTGTAAGCCCCACCGCTGGCTCTCTGCAGACTAATGGTTCTCCAAGGTTGGTGCCCTTCTGCGGAGAAGGGAAGACGGAGGCTGTGATGGAGCCCTGCGTGCTCCTGCCTGTGTGGTGTGATGGGGAGATCTTCACCGGTGTGATGGGGAGATCTTCACCCTCTGGCCAGCCTGAGGTTTCTAGGAATCTCTGAGCATTGAGCTCAGCGTAGGAGCATTGAGAACTCCTGGTTCTGTCACTGCAAGTCAACTGGTCTCTGGTTTATAACACAGAGTGAAGTAGTATTTTTCTATTTAAATATAAAAAAAAAAAGAAAAAAATTATATATGAAAGTGTTTTTTTTTTTTTTTTTT